GGATTTTTCTGCTTATGTGGTGCTGAGGAATCAAACCCAGGGCCTCATGCATTCAAGGCAAGCGCTCTACCACTGAGCCACCTTCCCAGCCCTGTGGGTTTATTCTTGAGGCATTTCCCTGCCTCTATCCTTTCATGTAGGGTCTGAAAGCTGAAGGGTATTTGTTTCAAGCCCTCTGTTAGTGGCTGAGCTCTGGACACGAAGCAGGAGCCAGCAGACATGTAATGGATAAAACCAGAGGAGAAATATGAACAAAGGGTATTAGTACTCTTGCTTGATACAGGCACTTCAATATCATAGCACCTATACAGCAAATACAGAGTAGAACAGATCTTAAATCAATATATCTGAGCTTCTTCTTCTTTTTTCTTTTTTTGTCGGTCATGGGGCCTGAAATCAGGGCCCGGGCTCTGTCCCTCAGCTCTTCAGCTCAAGGCTAGTGCTCTACCACTTGAGCCACAGCGCCACTTCCTGAACTTTTTTTTGTCTATGGTTATACCATACATAATAAACTCTAGAGGCAAAATTAGGACATCTTGTAACTTAGGAAAAACTGAATGCACCACACCTATTGATGAATGACCTAGTATGTCCAAGTTGCTAAACAAACTTTTAATGAGAGTTTATTATTTGGAGGCACTTTCCAAGTTGCTGGGAATAGAGGAGACAGAGACCCTGTCTTTGAGGAACTTGCAGTTTGGTGGGGATGAAGTTAAATACAGTTGTCTTGGGCTGGGAATGTGGCTTAGTGGTAGAGTGCTTGCCTAGCATGCATGAAGCCCTGGGTTCCATTCCTCAGTGCCACATACACAGAGAAAGCCAGAAGTAGTGCTATGGCTCACAAGGTAGAGTGCTAGCCTTAAATAAAAGAAGCTCAGGGGCTGGGAAGGTGGCTCAGTGGTAGAGCACTTGCCTTGCATGCCTGAGGCCCTGGGTTCGATTCCTCAGCACCACATAAGCAAAAAGAAAAAAGCCGGAAGTGGCGCTGTGGCTCAAGTGGTAGAGCACTAGCCTTGAGCTGAAGAGCTGAGGGACAGTGCCCAGGCCCAGAGTTCAGGCCCCACGACTGGACCCCCCCAAAAAAATAAATAAAAATAAAATAAGCTCAGACACAGTGCTCAGGCCCTGACTGGCCAGGAGTACAGTAATACAAGTCATCCCTCGCTGTGCCAGTTTGCTTGATCTGGCTTCACTGTACCCTAGGTTTTTTTTAAGAAATACATCGTGATCCCTCACCTATGGCGGGACTTACATTCCAGAGACCCCCCATGGGAGGTGAAAATCCGCAAAGAACCACAATATGGGAGGGACGGAAAACAATCTGGGGCTGCCACTTTGAGGGTTTTCACTGATTGTGGGGTCTTTGGAACCAAACTCCTGTGACTGGAGCAGTTACTGCAACACCATGCTGCTTCAAGCAGAGAGACTGACTGCAGGTACAGATATGTACACGCACTTCCCACTGCTGTGAAAAATACGGAGAAAACAGCGTGAGGAGGATGGGTCTCAGCGGCCTATGCCATGGCTCCTGCTTTAGGTCTGGAACACGGTGGCAGAAGGGTGCGGAGGAGGAAAGCTGCTCACCTCATGACAGACAGGATGCAGTCAGGATGGACCCATCAAAAACATATCTCTTCTGACCCAAGTCCTCTAACCAGGTCCCACCTTCCACCACCTCTACAGCCTCCCAACAGCCCAGTCAATTACGACTTCATCACCTACCGAGGATCTCAGACCCTCGTGATCTGGGAAGTGATCCTCATCATCCGAACCCTGAGCTCAGAGCCCTCCTGATCTGGGAAGTGATCCTCATCATCCGAACCCTGAGCTCAGAGCCCTCCTGATCTGCAAAGTGGGTCATGAGCTGAACCCTGAACTCAAAAGGCTCTCGGGGAGATTCCAAATCTAATCACAACAAAAGGAACACCAGGAGTCTCCTAATACAACTGGTATCATGTCAGTTTGATATTTTCAGCCCAGAAGGGCTCCTCAAGAGGAGGAAGGGGTCAAGGTTCCCAAAGTGTCTTCCAGGGGAATAACCTAAGCACAGGGACAGAGACGGGTCAGGGAGGGCAGGTCTTTCCAGCAGGAGCCAGAGAAGACCTCACACAGAAGGAGGTCAAGGAAGAGAAAGGCCTCCCTGCACCTAGAGGGCACGGGGACTGGAAGGATCTGACCCAGCCACAGCAGAATGGACACATGGGGTGGAACAAGCCACCCTCCATGAACAGTGCCGTAGAGAGAATGGCCACACTGGATGTACCGAGGCCGGGGGCCGGGCGCCCGTGGCTCACCCTGTCATCCCAGCTACTCAGGAGGCTGAGATCTGGGGATCGCAGTTCAAAGCCAGCCTGGGCAGGAAAAGTCCGTGAAATTCTTATCCCCAATAAGCCACCAGAAAACCATAAGTGGCGCTGTGGCTCAAGTGGTAGAGCGCTTGCCTTGAGCTGAAGAGCTGAGGGACAGTGCCCAGATCCAGAGTTCAAGCCCCGCAACCTCCCCCCTTCCCTCCCAAAAGTGGTACACTGGAAGAAACAGCAAGAAGGAGCAGGAGCGATGACACTTAAGTTAGTAAGCCAGACACCTATGCGTCTGGTGCAGTGGTAAGACTTCCAAATGGAGACCTGTTCCTGGCCAGCTGTGTGAGATTTTCCTTGTTGTCTGACTCTGGGACAGAGTTGTGCCCATGCAGCGACTGGGAAGCACAAGGAACAATTAACAATCACACACTTGTTTTTTAAGAGAAACGAAGTAACACATTCTGCCTTGGGAACTCCCCACGGGGAACAGTCTTGTAGGCTTTGACTTTAGATGGCTAACACTAGAGGAGTATGTATTTGATAGAGATGTAAAACAGTTGTTACTGTAAGGTCTAGAAAGCTTGAGAAGCACAGGACAAGATGATTTGCAAGGTTTCTTCAAATTCTAAGTTTCTCAGCCACTACATTCTACCCTGTGTTAGATATGAGTTCTGGTATAACTATAAATAAGTCAGGATTGAATTGTAGATACCCAGGTAACTCAACACTTGGCATTACCCTGCCAGTTCGCCGAACCTGAAGGAAGCGCACAGGGAATGGCCCTGCCTCCTTTGTGGTAGACGCAAACGCACTGTGAAGACTCAGGCTTTCACTGACACAGGGGCAGTGTTTCCATAATTCTCCTATACAATCTTCTCAAGTTGGGCCTTTTTATGCTCTACTTTTAAAAAGATCCGATGTCAACCTGACTTTTAATAAGGCTGGCAATTCTACCAACCAACAGATTTTGTGTATGTGTGTAGGAGCGAGACATTTTCCCACAACAGGAGCTTTTAGCTACTTGTGGATTCTGACCCCATATCTCAGCATAGGGCAGCCCTACCTGCCTAAACCATTTCCCAAGGGGGCCATCCTCTCAGGACTCGAGGACAGCGTGGACAAGTGTCACTACACACGACTCGCTTCCCTCCTGGACAGGCCACTTCCCGGGAGGACAGAGAGGAACCGAGTGCAAGTGTAAGAATGTAAAGAGGGGCAGAGCGCCCGTGGTGGCCGTGAGCTGGAGCGCAGGCGCAAACCCAGCCAGACGGGGGACTCCACTTGCTCATTACCAGGCTTCTGTCTGAGCTCAGGTAAATCCCAGCCTCGGGTCTGCCGGGTGTGCCTGGTTGTACCTGGCCTATCCCGTGGGCCACGCCCCCCACGCCTAGCCGTGGAAGCCTGGGTAGACTAGGCTTCCTGACTTTTCCACGAACCTAGCTCAAGGTCATCGGGTTCCCAGTGCTGATGGCGACGCGGGCTCCATGGGGCGCGGGGTCGGCGGCTAACTCACAGCTGCCCCACGGGCCCCACCGCCCCTGCGCCCCACCGCCCCTGCGCCCCTGCTCCCCACCGCCCCCTGCGCCCCACCGCCCCTGCGCCCCACCGCCCCTGCTCCCCACCGCCCCTGCGCCCCACCGCCCCACCGCCCCTGCGCCCCACCGCCCCTGCGCCCCACCGCCCCTGCGCCCCACCGCCCCTGCGCCCCACAGCTCCTGCGCCCCACCGCCCCTGCGCCCCACCGCCCCTGCGCCCCACCGCCCCTGCGCCCCACAGCTCCTGCGCCCCACCGCCCCACAGCTCCTGCGCCCCACCGCCCCACCGCCCCTGCGCCCCACAGCCCCTGCGCCCCACCGCCCCACAGCTCCTGCGCCCCACTGCCCCGCGTGCCCCAACCGCCCCTGTGCCCCACCGCCCAGCCCCTGGCTCCCTCGGGGCGGCGCAAGCCCTGCCCGGGCGTCCGTTAGAGGTCACCCCGGCGAGCCCCCCGCCTTCGCGGAGAAAGAGCGCGGCGGGCTGCGCGTCTGGCCAAGGTCACTCCTGGCTGGGGATCTAGGCCCTGGGGCCCGGGCTGTGTGCCTCGGCCCCGTATGGTACAGGACAGCCCAGGCGGCCGTTGGCGGGTCTGGAGCCACCAAAGGCCCAGCCGGACCCGGCAGCGCCCCGGAGGCTGCGGGGGGGGTGGGGTGCCGGAGAGGCCCGGCTCGGCGCCGGCTACAGCGGCCCGCCCGCCTCCCCGCCACCCCCGACCTCCAGCCCGCCCCAGCGGCCCGCCCGCCACCCTCCCCCCCCCCCCACCTCCAGCCCGCCCGGCCTCTCCTTCCGCTCCGCGCCTCCAGGCCGCCCCCCCTCGGCTCCCGGTCCCCGGCCTCTCCATCCACCCCCCGGCCCCGGGCCTCCCTCCCCCGGCCCCGGGCCTCCCTCCCCCGGCCCCGGGCCTCCCTCCCCCGGGCCGCCCCCCCCCCCCCGGCCCCAGGCCGCCCCCCCCGGTCCCCTCCCCAGGGCCGCCCCCCTCCGGCCCCGGGCCTCCCTCCCCCGGGCCGCCCCCCCCCGGCCCCCCCTCCCCCGGGCCGCCCCCCCGGCCCCCCTCCCCCGGGCCGCCCCCCCGGCCCCGGGCCTCCCTCCTCCCCCCCGGCCCCGGGGCTTCCCCCCCCCCCCCCCCCCCCCCCCCCCCCGCCCCGGTCCCCGGCCCGCCCTCACCGCGTGCGTAGCGCCTGCCAGGCGGCGTCGATGTCGGCGTACAAGTTCTTCTCCGAGGGCCGGCCCGAGCTGACGCCGTAGCCCGAGTAGTCGTAGGAGAAGATGTTGCAGTTGATGCGCGAGCCCAGGCCGGTGTAGAAGCTGCACATCTGGCCCAGGTCCACGGCGTTGCCGTGCGAGAAGAGCAGCGTGTAGCGGCTGGCGGGCGCGCAGCGCACGAACATGCAGCCCAGCCGGTTGTCGCGGGCGGTGCGCGAGAAGAAGACCTCGACCGCGTCCAGCTCGCGCTGCGAGTACTGCCAGTCGGCGCGCTCGCTCAGGCGCAGGCTGCAGGCGCCGGGCGCGGGCCCGGGCGCCCCGGGCGGCGGCGGCGCGGGCTGGGCCGCGGCGGGGGCGGCGGCGGCGGCGGAGGCCGGGCCCGGGCCCGGGGCGCCGGGGCCGCGCGGCTCGGGCGCCAGCACGGCGTAGGTGGGCTCGGGCGGCAGGAAGGCCAGCTTGGCGGCGATGCGGCTGGGGCACGGCGGGCAGCAGAAGAGCCAGCACAGCTCGCCCAGCGAGAAGCCGTTCATCCTGGGGCCCGGCTCGGGCATCGGGGCGGCCTGGGCCCGCCGGCGGCGGCGGGGCGGCCCGGCTGGCTGGGGGGGCGCGGGGCGGGCGCGCGGCGCGGGGCGGCGGCGCGGAGGGCGGCGGCGGCGCGGCCCGCCGCGGAGGCGGAGGCGGAGGCGGAGGCGGGGCAGAGGCGGAGGCGGGGCGGGGCCTGGGAGGCGGGGCCTGGGAGGCGGGGCCGGCGGGGCCTGGGAGGCGGGGCCTGGGAGGCGGGGCCTGGGAGGCGGGGCCTGGGAGGCGGGGCCTGGGAGGCGGGGCCGGCGGGGCCTGGGAGGCGGGGCCTGGGAGGCGGGGCCGGCGGGGCCTGGGAGGCGGGGCCGGGGCCGCGGAGGTGGGGCGGGGCCGGCGGGGCGGGGGCGGGGCCGGCGGGGGCGGGGCCGGCGGGGGCGGGGCCGGCGGGGCGGGGCGGGGCCGGCGGGGCGGGGCGGGGCGGGGCCGGCGGGCCGGGACCCGTCAGCGGCGGCCCCGCGGCCGGGGCGAGGCGGGAGCGGCCGTGGCCCGCGTGCTGCACACAAAGCCCGCGGCGGCGGCCTTGGCGCGCGCCCGCCCGCCCCGCACGCCCGGGGTCACTTCCGGGTTCCCGCGGCCGGGCGGGGTCCCGCAGCTCCCTGCGCCTCTCCCCGGAGGCAGCGGGGCTCCGCGTGCGGGGTCCGGCCCCGCCCGCGAGCCGCCGCGCGGAGGTTTGGGGTTCTCCCGAGGAGCCCCGCGCGGGCAGCGTGCGCGCGCCCGCGACGCCGCGCCGGCCCCCGCCACGTTAACCGCCAGCAGACGGCAGCCCCGCGCCGCGGGGCCGTCCGTCCGTCCCGGCCGTCTTCAGGATCTGGGGGTTAAAAGCTTTTCTCCACAGACGCTTTGAAGGTTCTTTTTAACCTGGTCCCAAAACCTGCTCAGACTCCACGTTTGACGTCTGTGTTAAAGCGCACACGAGGCTGGCGCCGCTGCCCACGAGAAGCCACGGTTCTGCTCCGAGCGGCTTCACACCCCGCCCGCGCCGGGTGCGCGGGACAGCCCGGCCCCGCCCGCACCGCGCCGGGTGCGCGGGGCAGCCCGGCCCCGCCCGGACCGCGCCGGGTGCGCGGGACAGCCCGGCCCCGCCCGCACCGCGCCGGGTGCGCGGGGCAGCCCGGCCCCGCCCGCACCGCGCCGGGTGCGCGGGGCAGCCCGGCCCCGCCCGCACCGCACCGGGTGCGCGGGGCAGCCCGGCCCCGCCCGCACCGGGTGCGCGGGGCAGCCCGGCCCCGCCCGCACCGCACCGGGTGCGCGGGGCAGCCCGGCCCCGCCCGGACCGGGTGCGCGGGACAGCCCGGCCCCGCCCGGACCGGGTGCGCGGGACAGCCCGGCCCCGCCCGCACCGCACCGGGTGCGCGGGGCAGCCCGGCCCCGCCCGCACCGCGCCGGGTGCGCGGGGCAGCCCGGCCCCGCCCGCACCGCACCGGGTGCGCGGGGCAGCCTGGCTCCGGCCCCGTGGAGCAGCCAGGACAGATTGAGAGCAGCTTTGTGTGCACCTTAAAAACGCGAGGTCAGAGGATGGGCCTGGATCTCCCCGCGCGAGGCTCGGCCCCAGCCAGGTGCTTCACTCCCCGAGGCCCAGCAGGAACAGACCCGCCCCACGCGTGGGAATCCCGCCGGGAAGGGCAGCCCCTCACCCCGCCGCCAGACAGGCGCGAGGTACATGGCCACGCACACAGGGGCAAGCTGCAGGTTCCAGTACACAAGGAAGGCCGGGAAGGCACGGTGTGCATCCCGGGGCTCCAGGGAGCTGCTCCTGCGCGGCACCGACACCCGGCCGGTGGTCTGGTCCGTTCTGTATTGCAAGATGGCCGAGAGCGACCGTGGGCAGAGGTGCAAATGGAGACGGGGCCTCCACGGTTCCGGGGAGTCTTTAGTTCATTTGTGGGTCTACGCACTAAGTGTTTTTCATCAAAAGGGGCCTAAGCACCTGGTGCATGGCATCTTGCGTGGCGGGGCTCAGGTGCCACTGCTTCCCCTTCCGTGGGACGAGGTGCACTGCAGTGTGAGCCAGGGGCGCTGATGGGAGCCCACTACACTTGCTGTGCTGCTGACTGAAGACAGCCTTTGTGTTAGTGTTCTGCTTGCAGTGTTTACGTTGTTAGGAAAATGCTAAAGCTAAGTGTTTATTTAGTCTCTGTGTCTGTCCACAAAGGATTTTTGTGGAGTGTGAATCATGTTACCAACAAATAAGGAAGCAAATAAGAGCTTTGTTTTTTTACAGCCAGTTTCCATAGTACAGAAGTGGGTAAGGGAGCACTAACTCGCCTGGAAAGTATGTTTGTGTTCATACGCATGCTAACAATGAGTCTGACATTATGGGACCCTGTGCCGTACTGCATAGCTACCAGGTCTCTCCCACCACGTACAGCCGTGTGCAGCCAATGGAAACGTGCGTGTGGCCACTGAGGTGAGGGGTACTGCTTGGGGCTAATGTTCATCACCTCAGCGCATCTGATCACAAGTGTTTGACAAACCCAGCAGTGTGGGGAGCCTTGGTGTTCAGCAAGAGAAAATCTGCCCTACTAAACACAAAGGTCAGGGGTCACCCTGAGCGTGAAGACTTCCCATGTGATTCTTTGTAATTCTCTGAAGCTGTGTGGAGTAAGGTCTAACTTGGAATTCAGGTCAGCAGATGCGTTTGTGAGGTACTATCACCAGCCGGTCACTGAGCAGGCCTGAGGAACGTGACCGGACAAGTTCATGGTGTAGTTTTTGCTTGGAATAGCTGTATCCTGCTGAACCATCCAGGCTGATGAGCAAGCAATATGCTAAGAAACTGACTGTGCAGGTTTCTCAGTTAATACTGTGCTTTTACATCTTCAATTTTGTCTTTTAGGCTTCTGGGTGTTGAGTCGGTCAAGATTGCCTAGATAATAATGATAAGACTATCATTTGGGGAGAGAATGATCTATACATTGTTGGCCATGAAAGAAGAGTATTCATGCTCAAAAATCAAACCTTTGAGTCAGATCTACCGTCCGTATTTTGCCTTTTTGTTCGTTTAATCTGGCAGTGGATTATCTGTGAAGTCAGGGGCCTTACCTAGTGTATCTATTGTTTCCTGTGACTAGGACATAGTATTTAAATGTTAATTAAATTGATAAAGTGATTGAGATGGTGCCTGTTCTTTCTGGTGTAAATAATTTGCATTTGGGCTTTGGGGAGATGGAAGATGACGGTCATGCTGAAGCAGGGCCCTGGACACTCCAGGCCTGGCCCACTCCATCTCACCCCCACTGCCCACCCCCGAGTCGTGCTGAGACACTGGGAAGGATAGAAGCATCTTGTGACAAATGACAAAATCTCCCCTCTGGCAGCAGTGCCTTCCTTTTATCCTGTCCCAACACCCTGGGATTCTGACATCCAAATATCCCCGAGTAATGGTACCTGGAGCACAACCTCCACCAGAGCCACCAACACACACACACACCAATGGAACAGTTAACAGTTAACACTTCACAGCCATTTTGGAATCCAGGAAGAACTCATCCCCTGGCCAGACATCAGTGACACTCAGCAAAACAGGACCTCATCTGCCCAACCCTGGGACTGCCATCCCTGGCCACATAACACACCGAGCCTGGGCCTGCTTATGCAAACTTCCCATCCCCATCTCTCCCCTACTCAAACCTAAAATATATCACCCCGAAGGGGCACTGAGCCTCTTTGTCTTCCCAATGCAACTGTGTCTCTTTTACCAGCATTCACCTGTCTAATGGTGTAGGGACAAGTGGCTAAGCCTCTTTCAACTGATTCCCTGGGTCCAGGGCATTTCATCCAAGAATTCTCCTCTCAGTGACAGCTTCACATGTAGTATCCCTGTGCGGGTAACATGTCAAATATGCCAAAAAAGGAGGAGGAAAAGGAGGAGGAGGAGAAGCAGGAGGAGGGGGGAGGAGGAGAGGACAGAGGAAAAGGAGAAGGGGGAAGAGGAGTAGGAGAGGGAGGAGGAAGAGGAGGAGGAGGGGAGGGGGAGGAAGAAGGCACTTAGCAATGGTGGTGTTTTTTCAGTCTTTCAGTATCATTAAGTTATGTGGAATCAATGTCGACCTGTCTTGCAGTCCCAGCTCTCTGAAGGCCAGCCTCAGCTACACAGCAAGATCTTGTCTCAAAACAAACAATCCCCCAAATAAGATAATTTTCTGTTAACCTAAGAACAAATGTTCTTGATTTTGAGTTAAACACAACTCTACCAAAACCTCCTATAAGTCTAAAAAAGTAATTTCTATGGGAAATACAACAATGAATAATATGGCCTGGCCTTGAAGACTTGGTGTCTGCCCACCCTCCACCCTGCTTCTTTTTTGTGTTTTTGGTTGGTTGTGGGGCTGGCCTGGGCACTGTCCCTGAGCTTTTTCACTGAAGACTAGCACTCTACCACTTTGAGCCACAACACTACTTCCAGTTTTCTGGGGGTTAATTGGAGATAAAAATCTCTCAGACTTTCCTTCCTGGGCTGGCTTTTAACCATGATCCTCAGATCTAGCCTCCAGAGTTGCTAGGATGTCTAACTCTCTCCACCCTTTATGGAATCCACGTGTTGGTTCTTGCGCTGATGTGTCATCAGAGAGGATGTCAGATAAAATAGCTAGCATTTGAATCAGTAGACTGTGTAACAAAGGTGCAGCGGAATCGTGGAATCAGTTAAAGGCCTCCTCCACCCTGGCCTGGTCAAGGCTTAGGCCTCAGCCTGGGATTACATCACGGGCCCTGCTGGTGTGCAGACCTTTGAACCGAACCACACCAGTGGCATGCAGATCACAGGTCTTCAGAGTCTCCGCCTTCTTCTCTGTGAGAGCTGTGCCCATAACAAACAGCCAAATACATAAAGAACTGCTCTGTGCTGTATGTTCTGTGGGCTCTGCTTCTTTGAGGACCCCTGGCCCTCTGGCACGGCCTGCCCCCTCTTCTCCTCCCTTCCCTGCCTCAGTTCCAGGATGACAGGCAGGGTCTTCAGTGTGAGGACGCCCCAGCGGGGAGCTAACCTGACGACTCTCCCTTGC